TGAGCTTTAAGGTCCCGCCCAGCCCAGCCCAGCCCACTCTGGGATTCCATGATTCTCTGCTGTGCCAATGTCGGTCCCTCTCCACTCCTCGTAGGTGGCCGTGACGCCCTGTTCCATGGCCCACGTTGAGCTGTGACCCCTCGCATGCTCCACCTCCGGACCAAAGGCACTGAGGAAGAGCAGCCCGTGAGGGACCTCCCCGAGCCGGCTGGGCAGAGGCTGCTCCCCCCGCAGCGACTCCTGGAGCACCCCTGGGTGCCCAGTGGCCATGGGCACGATGCTGCCGCCATCACAAAGCCCCAGTGATCTGTGGGGTGGTCTCTGGTGGCTGTAGCCCCTGTTTGAGGCCTCCATTTGTCCCCTGCAGAGCTTGGGTGCATTCCCATGAACCTCCAAATCCCCCTAAACCTCCAGTTCCCTTCCGAACCCCAAATCCCTTCCATTTACTGCCATGGGCCAACAGGGGCACTGAAGAGTCAGGGTACTCTGGGTCAAATGTAACCCCTGGTTTTGGGACACTGGCTGTTCCCCAAATGCCTGCACCACCCCAGGGAGCTTTGGGGAGCTCCCCCAATGCCGAAATCCCCTTTGAACCCCCAAACTCTTCCCCTCAACACATCTCCATGCTGGGGGAATGTTGCTCACCCAAAAGCGACTGAGGGGGCCCTGGGACCCTGGTACATGGGAGATCTCCCAATATAATGTGCCTCCTACAGCTCATTTTGGGGATCCCCCCCTGAACCTCAAAATGTTCCTTGAACCCTCAAATCCCTCTGAACACCCAAATTCCTCCCGCTTGTGTCAATGGGGCTCCCTAGGGCATCCAATGAGATTCGGCTGCCCTGGGATTGATGGACCCCTCAGTCTCGGTAGACAGGGAGTCCCCCAAATAAATGAGCCACCCCAAAGAGTTTTGTGGACCAGCCTGAATTCCCAAATCCTCCCTGCATCCCCCCAAATCCCCCCAAACCCAAAGCCCACAGCTCCAAAGCCGCCCTGGCTCAGCACAGTGGCACAGACTTGCTAAAAAAGGGGTGTTCCGAAAAGTGGTGTTCCCCCAACACCTGCCCTGGGGATCCATCAAGATGCTCTGGAACCCCGAACACACTGGGGGGACCCCAACATTGCTTTCGGTTCAGTAGTGAATTAGGTGGGCCTAAGGGGGTGGATCCCCCAAAAGGGTCACCCCAATAAAGGGGCAAACCAAAACCACACTGCACCCCAAAGGGCCCTGGAGGCACCCAAAGCAATCGTGCTGCCCCTAAATCCTAGGGTAACCCCAAATCTCCCTGAAGCAGCACAAAAGCAGGCAGGACCCCCAAGTGGGGGCCTGGGGCAGCACAAAAGTCACCCACACACTTCCATCACCCCGGGCCCCCCCAGATGAACCCAGGGACCCAAAACCCTGGAGGAGCCCCACCAAACACCCGCCCCCAACTGGGGTACCCCAGAAAAGCTGCTCCCCCCTTCCAATGCCGCCCAGCCCCAAATTGCTCCTCGTTGCCCCCAAACCACACCCCATGGGGCACCCCAGCTCCCCCGTCCCTGGTATCAGGGAGTTGGGGGCGCCAGCCCCAGAGTGGGGGTTGCCTAATTTGGGATGTCCCACCAAAAGACCAGGGAGGTGTGGTGGGGGATGGAGGGCAGGAAGCTCTGCAGAGGGATCTGGACAGGCTGGATCCATGGGCTGTGGCCAATGTGTTGAGGGTCAAGAAGGCAAAGTGCAGGGTCCTGCGGTTGGGCCACAACAACCCCCTGCAGTGCTCCAGGTTTGGGGAAGAGGGGCTGAAAACTGCTCATGGGAAAGGAGCTGGGGGTGCTGATTGATGGAGCTGAACATGAGCAGCTTGTGCGCAGGCAGCCAGGAAGCTCCCAGCATCCTGGCCTGGATCAGCACCAGTGTGGCAGCAGGGCCAGGGCAGTGGTGGTGCCCCTGCACTGAGCACTGAGGCCGCACCTCGAATCCTGGGTTCAGCTCTGGGCCCCTCACTACAAGAGAGACATTGAGGTGCTGGAGCGGGGCCAGAGAAGGGCAATGGAGCTGGTGCAGGGCCTGGAGCACAAATGTGATGGGGAAGGGCTGAGGGACCTGGGGGGGGACCTGATCGCTGCCTACAACTGCCTGAGAGGAGGATGGAGCCAGGAGGGGCTGGGCTCTGCTCCCAAGGAACAAGGGATGGGACAAGAGGAAATGGCCTCAAGCTGCACCAGGGCAGGTTTAGATGGAGCTGAGGAAGAATTTCTCCGGGAAGCTAGGGACCAGGTTAGGAAAGCTGAGACCCAGTTAGAATTCAGATAGGCTCGGGATGTTAAGGATAACAGGAAGGGATTCTTCAGGTATGTAGCAAATAAAAAACAGACTAGGGACAACACAGCCCCCTTCCGGAAGCTCTCGGGAGAACTGGCTACACGGAATTTGGAGAAGGCTGAGGTTCTGAATGACTTCTTTGCCTCGCTCTTCACTGGCAAAGGCTCTGACCACACCACCCAAGTCTTGGAAGGCAGATGCAGGGACTGTGAGAATGAAGACCTTGGGCCCACTGTAGGAGAGGAGCTGGCTCGAGACCATCTTAAAAATCTGAACGTGCACAAGTCCATGGGGCCTAATGAAATCCATGCATGAGTCCTGAAGGAGCGGGCGAATGAAGTTGCTAAGCCACTGGTCTTCATATTTGAAAAAACATGGAAGTCAGGTGAAGTTCCTGACGACTGGAAAAAGGGAACTATAACCCCCATTTTCAAGAAGGGGAAAATGGATGACCTGGGGAATGACAGAGCAGTCAGTCTCACCTCTGTGCCTGGCAAAAGCTTGGAGCATTCTCCTGGAAGGCATGCTAAGGCACATGAAAATCAACAAGGTGCTTGGTGACAGCCAGCATGGCTTCACTGAGGGGAAATCCTGCCTGACCAATTTGGTGGCCTTCTATGATGGGGCTACAGAACTGATGGACAGGGGCAGAGCAGTTGATGGCATCTACCTGGACTTGTGCAAAGCGTTTGACACTGTCCCACACGACATCCTCGTCTCTAAATTGGAGAGACATCAATTTGATGGATGGACCACTTGGTGGATAAAGAACTGGCTGGATGGCCGCACACAGAGAGTTGTGGTCAATGGCTCAGTGTCCGGCTGGAGACCGGTAACGAGTGGGGTCCCTCAGGGATCGGGGTTGGGACCGGTCTTGTTCAACAGCCTGTGGCCGTTACAGGGGGCGGAGTCAGCTGAGGGGAGCGGAGGGGGTTACTCTCCCACCCTGCGCTCTGATTGGCTCCGTGGCGCAGTGCGCGGGGCCAGGGGCTGATTGGCTGCCGTGGAAGTGGGCGGGGCGACAGGAACAGAGCGCGCGTTGGCTGGGGGGGGAAAGGAGGGAGATGGGGGGCGATGGGACCCCTATGGACCCCTATAGAACCCTATGGGGCAGGGACAGGTTCACACCCACTGCTGGCTCCCCCCATGGCTTTATATGGGGGCAATGGCGGTAATGGGGCAATAGGAGCAATTTGGGGTAACGGGGGGCAATGGGGGTAAAAGGGGGGTCTCGGGGTCTCGAGCTCTGCCCCCTGCATCCTGGTACTGGAGCTGCTGCTGCTTCCCCCTCCAAGGGACTCGTAAAGAGACACCCCCTCCATGGTCATGATGGGCGGATTGACTCCACAACTCATTAAAAGTTGTAAAGTAGGTATGCTTTTTATTCAGCGCTGAGACGCACGGGGATAATTCCTCAAAGTCATGCGTACCTCAGTGTTGTTTCCCTCTACATTTATTCTCTAAAGTTATATATATTCATAAGGTTGCACAATACGCCTATACATATTCATGTCCTATCCCTGCTTCATATTATAATGAGCCAGAAGGTCCTCTGCGCCTGTGCAGTGCCCCCTCTGGTCATGGGCAGGGGTCTTCAAGATGAAGTAAATGAGTCTTCCTCTTCTTGCACTTTTCACCTTTTTAGTCCTATGTGTGGCCTTAGAGTTTGGTCAGTGTCCCAGCCGTAAATCCTCTACTTCTCCCCTTTATCAGTAGAGTTTGATCAGTGTCCCAGCCGTAAATCCTCTGCTTCTCCCCTTTATCAGTAGATTCAGGCGTCTGCTTATTAACAGGACCGGAGGTCTCTGTTCTGCTTAGCAGGCATTTACAATAGATAGTCCTTTTGTTTAAACAAATTCCTCTAACCCCCTTGTACAACCCCCCTGTATAAATCCCTTGTACAATGGTCAACCCTCTGTATCAGTCAGACCCTGCAGGAACCCATAGAGACCCCATAGGGAGACCCATAGAGGCCAAACAGAGAGACCCATAGAGACCATATAGATCCACAGCCCACAGAGACTCATAGAGACCCCACAGAGACTCATAGAGACCCATAGAGATCCATAGACACCGCAGAGATCCTGAAAGCGACCCAAAGTGAACCATAGAGACGCCCCGTAGAGACCCCATAGAGACCCCATAGAGACCCATAGACTACAGGCACTACAACCCTGATCATGCAACGCGGCACCCATAGAGCCCCTTTACGGTGGCGCCCAGCCGGGACTACTACTCCCATCATGCAGCGCGGCACCCATTGAGCCCTGTTATGGCGGCGCCCAGTTATGACTACAACTCCCATCATACCCCGCGGCTCCCATAGAACACCATTATACAGCCGCCAGGCGGTACTACGACTCCCATCATGCCGCGCGGCAAGCATAGAGCACCACGAGGGCGTCGCCCAGCCTGGACTACAACTCCCATGATGCAGTGCGACACCCCTGCAGCACCACTAAGGCACTGCCCGGCTTGGACTACAACTCCCGTCGTGCCGCGCGGCGCTCCCAGCGTTTCAATTTTGCCCATCATGGCAGAGCTGGAGTTGCCCTCCGATCCCGAGCTGCGCAGGTTGGAGCCCGCGGGAGCCCCCAGTGGGGGCTTTTGGGGTCCTGGGGGGGTTGGGGTGCTCCTGACCCCCTCTCTTTGTCTCCCCCCCACCTCCAGGCTGTGCACGGGGCCCTGTGCCCCCATCCGGGAGTACATCATGGGCCATGTGCGGCACCCGCGGTGAGGGGGGCACCCCAACATCTTGGGGGGAGGAACCGCAACATCTGGAGGGACCCCAAACCTCGGATCGGTCCCTAAAATACATGGGGGGGGGGTGTGTTCCTATAGGAATGTGAAGAAGATCAAAGGGAACCTGCTGTGGTATCCGCTGCACCCAAAAAAGGGGTGGGGACCCAAAGCTGCCCCCTCTGGGGACCCCCAAGCTCCTTGGAGAGCCTCCAAAATCCCTCCAAAATTGCATTGGGATCCCAAGACCCACCCCAGCACCCCCCAATTCCCCCTGTGACCCCCCCCAACCTCTTTTCTCCTCCCAAATCCATGCACAGGAGCCCCAAATTCCTTTAGGACAACTCTAAATCCCATTGGGATCCCCAGGAACCCCCAATTCCCTCCCATGACACCCCCACCGACCCCCCCCAACTCCTCCTTTAACCCCCGTTTCCTCCTTAACTCGGGGCTCAGGTACCGGCACCTCGAGGAGATTCAGGTTTGGGGGGGGGGAGGGTTTTTGGGGGGCTGTATGGGGTTTTGGGGGGTCCCAGAGGGACGGGGGGGGGCAAGATTTGGGCGGGGGTGCAAATTTCAGGGGTGGTGGAGGGAGAAAAATGGGACTTAAGGATAGGGGGGGTGGTGTCCTCAGGTGACCTTTGGTGTCTCTCCCCAGCGAGGGGCGGGGTCAAGCACGCCTTATATGGAAGTGCATGAGGCCTTGGAGCAGGTAAGGGCGGAGCTTAAAGTGATGGGCGGGGCCGTGGGCGAGGCCGGGGCAGCGGTGCTGGAGCTGGGTGAGTTGACTGGGGGGTGGGATGGGGGGTAAAGGGGCGGGGCTACCGGTCACCTGACCTGAGGCTCTGCCCCCTTAGTTTCCTTGTAGAAGAGGCACTGGGGGCGGAGCGTCGCCGAGGGGCGGAGCTTCGCGCCCTGGGGGCGGAGTCGGCGCAGGAGGGGCTGTGGCTGCGGAGGGAGCGGGCCCAGATAAGCTCCGCCCACTCGTAAGCGAGGAGTGGGCGGGGCTTCCCCATGGGTATCCCAATGGGGGCGGGGGGCAGCATTCCCATGATGCTCTGCGCTTGCAGGGAGCCGGGGCCAAAGGTGGGACTAACGTCGAAATTGGCGGTAAGAAGGGGCGGGGCTTATTGGGAAGGAGGAGGGGCTTATGGACGGGGGAGGGGTCTGAGCTTGGCCACGCCCCCATTGCCCCGCCCGCCCTCCCCCCCAGGCCGTGTGCAAGCTGCGGGAGGAGGCCCTGGAGGAGCTTATGAGGGGTGGGGCTTAGGGGGAGGAGCTTAGGAGAAGGGAGGGACTTAAGAAATGGGGCTTTGGGAGGGGGTGGAGCTTAGAGAAGGGGCAGAGCCAGTGGGCTGCTGGGGGTGTGGCTTAAAGGGGGCAGGACTTCCCTTATAAGGTTCTGAGGGTGTGGCCCCAGGGCACTAGGGAAGGGGCGGGGCTACCGGTGGGTGGAGCCAACAGAGGGGCGGGGTTGCGTCCTCCCTCCATTCCCCGTTGTTCCATTGCAGGAAGGGGTATCCCAAAATCAGCCCTGACCTTGACCCCAACCCTGACCCTGATGCTCAGCCCCCTATGAAGACCCTCATACAGGTAAATGGGGAGACTTGAGGGGCACATTTGGGGGTGCTTTAGGGCTCGGAGCTCCCCATTGATGTGGGATCCCCCCTTTGCACCTCCCAGGACTGCTGGGTGGATGTGGGGGGACTCTGGGACTCTCCACTCCTTGGCTTCCCGCCTGTCCCCCCTGAAGCTCCGGCTCCTCCAGCTGCCGGTGGAGATCCCGCAGCGCCTGGAGGGGGACCCCAAAGCCCAGCAGGCTGCCAGGTAAAACCCTGCACCCCAAAACACCTCCCTGAACCCCAAAACCACCCCTCTGCACCCCAAAACACCCACTTGCACTCCAAAACCATTCCCCCTGCACCCCAAAGCACACCCCCTGCATCTGAAAACACCCCCTCTGCACCCCAAAACCATCCCCCCTGCACCCCAAAACAATCCACTACATTTCAAACCACCTCCCCTGCACCCCAAAACCTTATCCCCTGCACCTCAGAACACACCCCCTGCACCCTAAAACCACCCCCATGCACCCCAGAACCCACACGGCACCGCAAAACAACCCCCCTGCACCCCAAAACCTCCCTATGGAGTCCCTCATGCACCCAAAACCCTCTCAAGGACCCCCTGAATGCGTCCTGCAGCCCGGTTTCCCCCCCTGCACCCCAAAACTGCCCCTGGGTCCTCCCCCATAACTTTTTCCTCCCCACTCCTGAACCTCAGAACCCTTTAGGGACTCTCTCTGTACTTTAAACCCCACTGGGTTTCCTTCTGAAGCGGGTGCTGGGCTCATAGGGGTCCTTAAAGCCCCCCAGATTCTCCCTAAACCCAGTGCTGGGACCTTTTGGGGTGCCCCCAATCCCTCCATGGTCCCTGCAGTCCTTTTATGGTCCCGTCCCCCCCCCCCAAAAAGGGTTCTTGAACCCCTTCGGGCCTCCCAAACTCCCCTCAACGTTTGGCTTTGGGGCCTCATTGCCCCCCAGGTCGATGCTGGAGGCCGCAGGGCTCTCAGGGGCTCGGGACGCCCTGATCAAGCAGGTCCTGGAGCTACGGGGCAGCCCCATGGACTCCCCAGAAGCTGCCCTGGGGCCACTGAGGAGGCAGCTGCAGGAGGGGAAGCAGCGGCTGGTGGGTGCCAACGGGGGAATGTGGGGATTTGGGGGGGGTCCTGATGGGCTTGGGGGGGGCTGGGGGGTGGAATCTGATGGTTATGGGGAGGGGTTGGGGTCCCTAAAGAGTCCCAGCACCACTTTTTGGGAGGGATGAGGGATATCTGGGGGTCCTGGAGGGGGATTTTGGGTCTATAGGGGATGATCTGGGGGAGTTTGGGGCTTTAGAGGGGATTTGGGGGATTCAGCATTGCTGGGAGGGGTAGCTGGGGTTCTGGATTGGTTTGGGGTGAAGGGAGAGGTTTTGGGGAGAAATATGGGGCGATATTTAAGGTGTTTGGGGGTCTTGGGGGGTATTTGGGTCCCTCCCATGGCTTTGGGGTCCCTCATTTCCTTGTGTCCCCCCTCCCCACCCCTTCCAGTCCCGCCGCTGGATCCAGCTCCGGGCTCTGGCCGCATCCAATGGGAAGCTCCGGGCGCAGCTGTGCCCCCTGCAGGCCCAGGTGAGGAACGAGGGGGAGGGAAGTGGGGCGGGGCTTAATGGTGAGTGGGCGAGGCCTCAGAGCTTTGGCCACGCCTCTTTCAGGCCCGAGGAGCTGTGCGGCTCCCCCCAGGGCTGCAGGGGGAAGGGCAGCGGCTGCAGGTAGCGCTGAGCATGCTGGGAAAGGAGAGAGTGCCCCTCCCCCCGAGGTGAGTGAATTGGGGGGGGGGGAGGGTGGTGGGGGAGGAGGGGGAAGGGCTGTGCTGACCCCTCCATTCTCCCTTTAGCCCCGCCCACTGCCCACTGCAGCCAATCAGACCTGCCCTAGGAATGTCAGAGAGTGAGGTGGTGGAGGGGCCATAGACGGGGAGGGGAATTGGAAGGATGTGCCATAGAGGGGGCAGGGGTCATAAAGAGGGGGAAGGCCATAAAGGGGGAAGGGCAATGCGAGAAGGGGACATAAAGGGGGGCGGGGCAATGGAAGGAGGGGACATAGAGGGGGGAGGGGCAATGGTGCCGTTGCTCAGGGGTGTTTGTGCCTCAGCCCCCACAGGGGGCGCTGTTGCGGGCGGCAGAGCTGCAGGGGGAGCTGGAACAGCTGCAGGAGGTGAGGTCAGCACAAGGGGCGTGGTCAGCGCAAGGGGCGGGACCCGGGAAGCCCCGCCCACCCCGCGGTGAGTGAGGGGGACGAGCTGGGGGGTGAGGGTGTGGCCTGCGCTGACCCTGTCCCTTTGCAGCACCCGCGGAGGGCGTGGCCATCGCCGAGCTCCTCCCCCAGCTGCAGGCGCTGTCCATTCGGGTCCAGCAGTGCCTCGAGGGCTGGCCCCACCTCCAGGACGTCATCAGCCAATGGTGAGACGGCGAGGGTGGGTCTGTGAGAGGCCACGCCCACCATGTGTGATGTCAGTCACATTCCCCCTTCCCCCCTCCTTCGTCTCCCTTAGGTGGGAGCAGCCGGCTCAGTGGATACCGGCCACCCCCCCCAGCAACATCCCCTTCTCCCATTGGCTGAAGCGCTGGTCCCAGGCCACCCGTACCCTAAACTTGCACCGCCCCCTCCCCTTAGCGCCGCCCACCAGCGACAAGGAAGGGCGTGACCAGAGCAAGCCCCACCCCTGAGCCTCGGTTTCATCAGATGCTCCTATTGGATGGGGTGCAGGAGGCAGGGCTTGGAGGGGGGTGTGGCCACAAGGCTGCGGTCCTGGGAGCGGAATAGAGTAGGTCCTATAGAAATAGAGCAGTAAATAAAGCAGGTCCTCTGCTAATTACATGTAAATGAGGTTGCACCCATGTTAATGAGATGCAAAGCAGGTCTTGTGTTAATAAATTCGTCCCGCCTGCAGTAACAGCATGTCAGCAGAGCAGAGCCTCCAATAACAATGCACAGATAACATGTGGCCTACAGTAACACATAAATAAAGCAGGTCCTACAGTAACGAAAGTGTAAACAAAGCAGGTCCTGACATACTAAATTCCCTTATAAAGCACGACCTACAGTAACAGCCTGGGAATAAAGTAGGACGTACAGGAATATGTAAATTAGACAGGCTCTATGTTAATGACAGGTACATAAAAGTAGATCCTACATTAAGAACTTGTAAATAAGTTACTCAGTAAAGCGGGTCCTGACATCACAACCACCCCCAATACAGTAGGTCCTACAGGAATGAAACTGTAAATACAACATGTAAATAAAGTAGGCCCTACATTAATAACTCCCTCAAAAAAATGGGTCCTACAATAATACCTCCTCGATAAAGTAGGACCTACAATAAGGGCCCATAAATGAAGTAGGTCCTGCCCCAATACCCTGTCAATAGAGCAGATCCGACAGCAACTGTACATAAAATAGGTCCTACATTAATAAGTGAGTAAATACAGGAGGTCCTGGCACAGCACCATGTAAATACAGGAGGTCCTACAGTAAGAACGTGCAAATGCGAGTGGCTCCATGTTAATAACATGTAAATAAAGCAGGTCCTCCACTAAAAGGACGCAAATTAAGTAGGCCCTCCATTAATAACATGTAAATAAGGAAGGGTCTGTGTTAGTATCATGTAAATAAGTTCAACCTTACATGAACTGCGTGTGAGTAAAGCAGGTCCTACGCTAATTGCATGTAAATAAGGGGGGGGGTAACGATGGTGGGATGAGAAATGGGGAGGGATGGAGGGAGAGGGGGAGAAATGGCAGGAATGTGGGGAATGGGGGTGGGAAAAAGGGGAGGGTGAATGGGGGGCATAAGGGGGGGAGGAGAAGAGGGGACAAATGGGGGGCAGGGGCAAGGAAAAGCCCCATATTCAGGGCCATGGGGGGGGCAGCCGGGACGGGGTTAAATGGGGACACGAGTTGGGGAGCTCAGAGCTGATTGGCTGTTGACTGGGCAACGGTCGCCAGAACGAGGCGGGGGGCGGGGGCAAGGTTGCCTGGCAACGCGCAGCGCGGTGGAAGCTCACTGGCCGTCACCTGGCAACGCAGGGGAAGCGGTACGCGGAGACCCCGTTGCCTAGCAACCAACCCGGAAGTGCGGCGAGCATCACCGAACGGGGATGGGGAAAGGCCGAAATTTGGGAGCTAGGGGGGAAAAGAGGCCTCGATTTCCTGTGAAATCTTTATTTATTGGTTAATTTTCCTTTTTATACAGTCTTAAGGTGACGCCTCCCGCCTTCCCTCCCCTTCCCCCCCTCCCCCCCCCCGCTATTTACATTGGTGTCAACAAGGCTTCGGATCGACCCCCCGCCATCCCCCCATTTTGGAAGCTGAGGGCACCCAGGGGTGCTCCGGGAGTCGCTGCGGGGGGACCAGCCTCTGCCCAGCCAGCTCGGGGAGGTCCCTCACGGGCTGCTCTTCCTCAGTGCCTTTGGTCCGGAGGTGGAGCATGCGAGGGGTCACAGCTCAACGTGGGCCATGGAACAGGGCGTCACGGCCACCTACGAGGAGTGGAGAGGGACCGACATTGGCACAGCAGAGAATCATGGAATCCCAGAGTGGGCTGGGCTGGAAGGGACCTTAAAGCTCACCCAGCTCCAATCCCCAAAGGCACGGGCAGGGAAACCTTCCACTAGAGCAGCTTGCTCCACGGCCCTGTGTCTCTGTGCACTCCCAGGGCATCCTGGGGATACCCCTAGAGAATCCCAGAGAATGCCTGCAGCAGCTCCAGAGCACCCCATGGACCCAGTCAGAGCTCATGCATCACAATGACCTTGGGGACATGGAGACCACAGGGGTGGCTGATTCTGGAACTCCCCGTGTTCAGGTGTGTGAGGTCACAGAACCCCACAGAACCCTCCAGCAGAGGCACCGGGAGACGACAGCTGCCCCACGGAACACAAGCTACTGGTGGAGGAGGCAAGAGCAGCTCCTCTGGTGGTTCCTGTCTTGGTGTCTCGGAGCCGGTGCCGCCTGTGGACACAGGAGCGTGGAAGGAGGTGGGTGGCGATGGCGATCTTGGGGTGCTGTAGGAGTTTCCAGAACACCTCAAGAGACTTCCCCAGAGTGGCTGCCGAGGGATGATCCTGGGATCTGCCCTCATTTCTTGTGGGGAGAGCAAGGGCCTGTGGGGATGGGACAAGGGGGAACGATTTTAACGTGACAGAGAGGGGAGATTGAGATGAGATCTTAGAAGTTGTTCCCTGTGAGGTGGTGGGACAGTGGCACAGGGTGCCCAGAGAAGTTGTGGCTGCCCCATGGCTGGCAGTGTTCAAGGCCAGGTTGAATGGAGCTTGGAGCAAGCTGCTCCAGTGGAAGTTGTCTCTGGCAGTGGCAGGGGTTGGAGCTGGAGGAGCTTTAAGGACCCTCCGAATCCAAACCATTGTGTGCTTCCGTGATATCCTCAAGTCCCCTGGGGGGAAGTGAGTGAACAAGCTGTCTGTCTGCGTTTAAACCAGGACAGCAAGGCAAGGCAAGGCAAGGCAACGCCAGGCGAGACCAGGCCAGGAGATGCAAGACAAGGGAAGGCAAGGCCCATGAAGGGAAGGCCAGGCCAGGTCAGGAAAGGAAAGGCAAGGCCAGTTAAGGCAAGGTAAGGCTAGGCAAGGCAAGGCTAGTCCAGGTCTAGACAGGCCATGTAAGGCCAGGCAAGGCCAGGTAAGGAAAGGCCAGGCAAGGCCAAGCAGGTCAGGGAAAGGCCAGGCCAGGCCAGGCTAATAAAGGCAATGCAAGGCCAGGAAATCACAGGGAAGGCAAAGCCAGGCCAGGCCAGAAAAGGCCAGGCCACACAAGGCCAGGCCAGGCAAGGCCAGGGAAGGCAAGGCCAGGCGAGGCCACTCCAGGCCAGGCAATGCTAGGCCAGGTAAGGCAGGGTAAAGCAATGCAAGGCACGGCCAGTCGAGGGCAGGCAACCCAAGGCCAGGTTAGGCCAGGTAAGTCAAGGCAAGGAAAGACCAGGCAAGGCAAGGCAAGACAAGGCAAGGCAAGCGAAGGCAAGGCCAGGCCAGGGCAGGCAAGGCAAGGCAAGGGAAGACAAGACAAGGCAAGGCCAGGCCAGGCCAAGCCGTGCAAGAGAAGACCAGACCAGGCCAGGCAAGGCAAGGCCAAGCAAGGCAAGGCTAGTCCAGGACTGGCCAGTCTATGCAAGGCCAGGGAAAGGCCAGGTAAGGCAAGGTAAAGCAAGGCAAGGCCCATACAGTAGTAGCAGTGCAGGACAGGTAAGGGCAGGTAACGCAAGGCCAGGACAGGTAAGGCCAGGCAAGGGCAGGTAAGGTCAGCCCAATCAAGGCCAGACAGGGCAAGGCCAGGCCAGGTTAGGCCATGCAAGGCAAGGCTAGGCAAGGAAAGGCAAGGCCAGTCCATGCCAGTCTTGGTCAGGCTATACCAAGCACGGCCAGGCAAGGCCAGTTCAGGCAAGGCCAAGCAGGTCAAGGCCAGGCCAGGCCAGGCCAGGCCAGGAAAGGCCAGGATAGGCCAATCATGGAAATGCAAGGCCAGAAAAGGACAAGGAAGGCAAGGCCAGGCCAGGCCAGGCCATGACGGGCCAGGCCAGGCAAGGGAATTCAAAGCAAGGCAAGGCACGGCCAGGCCATGTCAAGCCATGCAAGGAAAGTCAAGACCAGGCCAGTCAAGGCAAGGCAACCAAAGGCAAGGCAAGGCAAGGCAAGGCCAGGCTAGGCCAAGGCATGCAAGGCAAGTGCAGACCAGGCCAGGCAAGACAAGGCAATGCAAGACAAGGCAAGGCAAGGCAAGGGAAGACCACTCCAGGAAACGCAATGCCATGCCAGGTAAGGCTATGCAAGGCAATGCCAGGCAAGGCAAGGAAAGGCAAGGCAAGGCAAGGCAATGCCAGGGAAGGCAAGGAAAGGCAAGGCAAGGCAAGGCAATGCTAGGGAAGGCAAGGCAAGGCAAGGCAATGCCAGGGAAGGCAAGGAAAGACGAGGCAAGGCCCAGCAAGGCAATGCCAGTCCAGGACGGGCAATGCAAGGCCAGCTAAGGCCAGGCAAGGCAAGTTAAAACAAGGCAAAGCAAGGCCAGGAGAGTCCATGCAAGGTCAGGCCAGGCCAGGCCAGGCCTGGCAAGGCCAGGCAAGATAAGGCAAGTCAAGGGAAGGCAAGGCTAGGCAAGGCAAGGCAAGGCACGGCCAGTCCAGGACAGGCAATGCAAGGCCTGGTAAAGCCAGGGAAGGCCAGGCCAGGCAAGGTCAGGCCACGTTAGTCAAGGCCTGGGAAGGCAAGGCCAGGACAGGTCATGACAGGCCAGGCCAAGCAAGGCAATTCAACTCAAGGAAAGTCAAGACAAGTCAAGGAAAGGCTAGGCAAGGAACGGGAAAGCAAGGCAAGTCCAGGATAGGCAATGCAAGGGCAGGTAAGGCCAGGCAAGGAAACACAAGGGAAGGCAAGGCAAGGCAAGGCAATGTCAGGCATGGCAAGGCCAGGCCAGGCAAGTCATGGCAAGGCTAGGCCAGGCAAGGCAAGACAAGACAAGGCAAGGCAAGGCCAGGCCAGGCCAGGCCAGGCCAAGCCATGCAAGGGAAGACCAGACCAGGCCAGGCAAGGCAAGGCCAAGCAAGGCAAGGCGAGTCCAGGACTGGCCAGTCCATGCAAGGACAGGGAAAGGCCAGGTAAGGCAAGGTAAGGCAAGGCCCATACAGTAGTAGCAGTGCAGGACAGGTAAGGCAAGGTAAGGCAAGGTAAGACAAGGCATGGCCCATACAGTAGTAGAAATGCAGGACAGGTACGGCC